ATCCCATATGGGCACCAGTTCAAGTCCCGGCTGCTCCTCTTCCCATCCAGCTCTCTGCTGTGGCCTGGGAAGGCAGTAGAAGATGGCCCAAGTCCCTGGGCCCCTGCACCCATGTGGGAGACCTGGAAGAGGCTCCTGGCTCCTGGCTCCGGCTTGACTCAGCTCCAGCTGTTGTGGCCTTTTGGTGGGTGGGCCAGCAGATGGAAGATCTCTCTCCAGCTCTCCCACTCTCTTTAGCTAACTCCGCCTTTCAACTAAACAAATTTTTAAAAGAACTTTGATCATTGAATTTATTTATTTGTAAGAGTTGTTCATCTGAAAGACAAAGTTAGAGAGAGAGGGAAGGAGAGATCGAGTTCTTCCATCTGCTGGTTCACTCCCCAAATGCCTGCAGGGGCTGGGGCTGGCGAGCAAGTCCGGGCCTGGAGCTCCATCCAGGTCGCCCGCGGGGGGCAGGCGCACAAGCACTTGGGCCGTCACTGCTCCTTTCCCAGGCACAGTAACTGGGAGCTGGATCAGAAATGAGCGGCTGGGACAGGAACTGACCCTCATGGGGTGCTGGCGTCCCAGGCGGCGGCTTAACCTGCTGTGCCGTGACGCTGGCCTCTACTCGCTGAGTTTAGAAAAAGTTGCTGAATTTTAAACACTTTTTGTAAATACAAGAACTTTGGAACTCTTCTTGATTTTTTAAAAAAAGATTACTTGAGGGCCAGCACTGGGGCACAGCAAGTTAAAACCCTGGCCTGAAGCTCTGGCATCCCATAGGGTTGCTGGTTCGAGACCCGGTTTCTGCATTTCTGATCTGGCTCTCTGCTTGGCCTGGGAAAGCAGTACAAGATGGCCCAAGTCCTTGGGGCCCTGCACCCACGTGGGGGACCTGGAAGAAGCTCCTGGCTTCAGATTGGTGCAGCTCGGCCAACTGAGGACTGATCCAAAGAATGGAAGACTGACCTCTCTCTCTCTCTGTCTCTCTCTCTCTGTCTCTGTCTCTCTCTCTGCCCCTCCTCTCTCTGTGTAACTCTGACTTTCAAATAAATAAATAAAAAAGAGAGAAAAGATTACTTGAAAGGCAGAGCAACAGAGCGGGAGGGAGAGACAGGAAGCTAGGTCTCCCATGCACTGGTCCACTACAGAAGCTGAGTCTCCCACGTGGGTGGCCAGGACCCGGGGGCTTGGCAGTGTGGAGCAGCCGGGAACCAGCCCTCCCATGAGGGATGCAGGGTCCCACGCAGCAGCTTCACCCCCTGTGCCATGTCGCCCACCATGGGAAAACTCCCCAATTCTTGTTTTGAAAAGTGTCGGGGCCGGCACTGTGGCATAGCTGGTTAGGCCGCTGTCTGCAGTGCCAGCATCCCATACGGGCACAAATTCATGTCCCGGCTGCTCCAGCTCGATCCAGCTCCCTGCTATGGCCCGGGAAAGCAGGAGAAGATGGCCCAAGTCCTTGGGGCCCTGCACCTGTGAGAGAGGCCTGGAAGAAGCTCCTGGTTCCTGGCTTCAGATAGGCGCAGCTCCGGCCATTGCGACCAACTGGGGAGTGAACCAGTGGATGGAAGGCCTCTCCTCTCTCTGTGTAACTCTGACTTTCAAGTAAATACATAAATCTTTAAAATAGATAAATTAATAGTGTCACCATTTAATGTGACCCAAAAAGTAGGCCACCACGTTCTGAGGAGCAGCAGCACCCCCTTGTGGCTGTCGGCAGCATTGCAGCCGCGGCCCCGATTGGTCCCCCCAAGGTCTGCAGGGGCTTCCTGCAGGCTTAAAGGCGAGGCCCACGCGGGTGCTGCAGCAGTGGTGCAGGAGAGACGGTGTGGCAGGACTGTGAGGCGGTCCCTGTGTTAGAGTGCAGGACTGTGAGGTGGTCCCTGTGTTAGAGCGCAGGAGGTGTCCACACGCCGCCTCCTCCAGTGAGGAAGCCCAGGGCGGGACGCCCACTGTCCTCGAGCTGCCTGTGGTGTAGGGAGCTGCTTTTGTCCCTCCAGTGACTCGAGGGGAGCCATTGCTACATTGGTTGCTTTTATTTATGATTAATTTATTGATCTGAAAGGCAGAGGCAGAGAGAGAGAGAGAGAGAGAGAGAGAGAGAGATCCTCCATCTGCTTGTTCACTCCCCAAATGGCCGCATTTGGCCATCTGATGGCTGAGCCGATCTGAAGTCGGGAGCCGGGAGCTTCTGCCGGGCCTCCCACACTGGACGCACTCGGGCATCTTCCTCTGGCCTCCCAGAGCTGGATCAGAAGTGCGGCAGCCGGGACTAGAACCGGTGCCCATATGGGATGCCGGCGCTGCAGGCGGCGGTTTTACCCGCTTTGCCACGGCGCCGGCCCTACAGAGGGGGCTTAGCGGCCTCACTGAGCTGTGGGTCACACCCCAGACGGCTCCCCGTGTGCAGCCACAGCACAGAGAAGCCCGCGCGCGCTGGCCTCCAGCCTGAGGCAGCCCCGTCTGTCTTGGGCCCTAGAGAGGGGCCCTGTTGCAGACGTTTCGTGTGGAAGCAGCCACACAGCTCATGGTCCTCCCGCCGGGCCCGCTCCCCGAGCGTGCTGTCCGCAGGGCTCGTCCGTGTCGCCGCAGCTCCCCACGCGCCACCCTCCTTGCCTGGCGGAGCAGCACCCTCGGCACTGCCCCTCCCACACGGAGGGCTCTCCCTGAAGGGCGGGCCCGGCCGGCTCAGGTGTCTCTGGGCCCCGCAGGGCCTGAGGAGGGCGTGTCCCACAGAGCGGGGGTGGGGGGTGGGGGGGTGCAGCTGTTCCTGCAGCGCCGCCTGGGGGTGCACAGGTTTCTTGGCTCGGGACACGGGGACCTAGGTGCTATGGCTGTGCGCGTGGAGACCGTGAGGAGCGGGTGTGAGGGTGGAGTGAGGCCCAGGACAGCTGTGTGTGGAGGGATCAGGGCGGAGGTCCTGAGCGTCACTGTGTTGACCTGGACAGCGGTGAGGGAGACGAGAGCCTGTGGATCGGCCAGTGTGGAGTCCGGCCTCCCGGTGGGCAGCTGGGTCCCTCGGAGCCTGTGTGGTTGACGGCCTGGCTCGCTGGCCGTGTGTGGCTTGTTCAGCTGGTTCTTATGGTCTCTGGTGAAAAACGGGCATCGTAACACATGTCACTTTTGCCATTTTATTTTTTAAGATTTGTTTATAGAAAGAGTGACAGAGAGAAGGAGAGACAGATCTTCAGTCCACTGGTTGATTCCTCAAATGTTCACAACAGCCAGGGCTGGGCCAGGCTGAAGCCAGGAGCCTGTGACTCTTGGTTCTCCCACGTGGGTGCAGGAGCCCCAGGACTTGGGCCGTCTTCTGCTGCTTTCCCAGGGCACAGCAGAGAGCTGGATCGGAGGTGGAGCAGCCGGGACTCGGACCAGCGCCCATATGGGATGGCGGCACTGCAGGCGGTGCCTTCACCCGCTGTGCCAGCACCGGCCCCATTTCAGCCATTTGCAAGCACGCAGGCACCCCCACCCTCATCTCCACAGCTGTGCCTCGGCTGCGACTCTGTCCCCAGGCCGTCCCTGAGCCCCGGCTGCTCTACCTCCTGTCTCCATGCAGGAAGCAGCCCCTTGTACTCAGCATGGGCTCCCCTCCACATGCTCAGGCCTTTACATGTGGCCACTCTCGCTGGCTGTTTGACCAGGTCAGTATCTGTCCCTGTCTCAGAAACCCAGAGCCTGCGAGGTCGGCCACGCCCCTGACCCTGCTGCCTGAGACACTCGCTTATCCCTGGTCAGTTCTGGGGGGCCGGCCCCTCCACCGCTGGCTGCCTGGGCGCCCTGCTGGCCCACTCCTGGGACAGGGCTCCCTCACCTTCCCTGGCCCCGAGGGAAGACACAGCTCCAGAACTGCCACAGCCACCACTCTGCTGGCCAGGTCAGGGAGGACCCGTGGCTGGCTGGTGTGCAGTCCACGCCCTGAGCGGGGTCAGGGAGGACCCGTGGCTGGCTGGTGTGCAGCCCACGCCCTGAGCGGGGTCAGGGAGGACCCGTGGCTGGCTGGTGTGCAGCCCACGCCCTGAGCGGGGTCAGGGAGGACCCGTGGCTGGCTGGTGTGCAGCCCACGCCCTGAGCGGGGTCAGGGAGGACCCGTGGCTGGCTGGTGTGCAGTCCACGCCCTGAGCGGGGTCAGGGAGGACCCGTGGCTGGCTGGTGTGCAGTCCACGCCCTGAGCGGGGTCAGGAAGGACCTGTGGCTGGCTGGTGTGCAGTCCACGCCCTGAGCCCTCTGGCGGGCCACAGGGGGACTGCGCCTCAGACCAGCATCCGCATCCCTGCAGGGACCGCGGCGGCCTTGGGTTGTGTCGTAGCTTCCCTTTCTTTTAGGACACAACCTTGGGGTGGACACTGCGCGCTGCACCCCAACTGTGGCCTGGGGTGCATCTCTGAGGGGTGCTGGCTCCTGGTGCGGGAGAGCATGGGGTGGGTCCGCTGCGTGGGGGCGTCCCCTGCCGAATCCTGTGGGAGTCTGCGTGGGTGCACGGTAGCTGCATCGTGGGCTTGTCTGGATCGCCTGGCGCAAGGCCTGGACAGGGAACAGCCTTGCCCATTGGTCCCCAGCCACAGGGCGCCAGAGGGCGGGCTGCCAGCAGAGGGACGCGCGCCAGGGCCAATCAGGGCGCGGTGCTGTGTGTCATGGGGCTGGTCCGCGGGTCCCGAGCGGCTGGGCCCGGGAGCCCCCATGCTTGGCTGTTACCTAGCAGGTTCCCTCAGTCCTGCCCTGGGCTGGCGGGGCAGGGAGCTGCGTGTGCATCTCAGGCCTGGGGACTTTGCAGCACAAGTGGGGGGTGCATGGGAACTTGGGTTGGGGTGATGGTTGGCCGGGGAGGAAGCTGAGCGGTGGGAAAGGCCCACGGCGCTCACCGCGCAGAGACCCGTGCCCAGGACCACACAGCCACGGCCCAGAGTGCAGGGACAGTGCACGTTCTACACAGAGCGAGGGTTGGGAGCGGGACCAGGTCCTCCCCAGCAGGGCCCCTCCCTGGCTCCTCCGCCCTGACCCGCATTGCTTTGTAGAGACCCGGCCCGAGGACTCCTCCGCCGTCATGGAAAGGGCGCTGGGCAGAAGTCCGTGCGTGGGCTGAGCGTGGCCTGAGCGTCGGGCCCTGGTCCCGGGATGCCCCTGCCTGAGCCCCGCGAGCAGGAGGCCGAGAGTGGGACCGCTGGCCCGGAGCCGTCGCCCGAGCTGAAGCGCAGCAAGCTAGACGCAGGTGAGGAGTGGGCCCAGCCGCCCGTGTGCACGCGCACCTCGGCCTGCCCACCCCGCTCCCCGGGAGCCTCCTGCAGGGTGTGGCGGCCAGCAATCTCCTCCGTGCGCCTGCAGCCCCGTCCAGGAGCCAGGGAATCGCTGAGATGGGCAGAGTGCCCACCCCCGCCGCAGTCAGGAGTTTTGGGGAGGCCCCCCACCCACCCCTTCACCCCACACTCCCACCCCGCCCCCTGCAGGGCTCACCTGCCCGCCCTCTCCCCCACAGCCCCCGAGCCGCTGGAGTTCCTGAGGACCCCGTTTGGGGGCCGCCTCCTGGTGAACGAGTCGTTCCTGTACAGGCAGGAGAAGGCCGTCGGGGACAAGGTGTACTGGAAGTGCCGTCGGCACGCCGGGCTGGGCTGCCGGGGCCGGGCCATCACCCGCGGCGCCCGGGCCACTGTGATGCGGGACCACTGCCACCTGCCAGACGAGGAAGGCCTGCGGGCCCGGCCCAGCCC